GTGTGTGAGAGAGAACGTGAGTGTGTGTGAGAGAGGGTGAGTGTGTGAAAGAGAAGGTGAGTGTGAGAGAAGGTGAGTGTGAGATAGAGGGCGTGTGTGTGAAAGAGAAGGTGAGTGAGTGTGAGAGAAGGTGAGTGTGAGAGCGAGGGTGAGTGTGTGAAAGAGAAGATGAGTGTGAGAGAGAGGGTGAGTGTGTGAAAGAGAAGGTGAGTGAGTGTGAGAGAAGCTGAGTGTGAGAGAGAGAGGATGAGTGAGTGTCTCTGATTGAGTGTCCGTGTTTGCTCATGTGTCTGGCTGAGCGTATTTCTGCATAGGGCGCTACGCTGAGAAACTGAGAGACATGAACGCCCATTGGGAAGGGGATTGTTGTGATGACCGAGTTAATAACCACATCTTGAACTAGAATCGACTGTATGCACGGCGCGGCTTATTTGAAATAATTGGCTCCGTTATTTTTGAATATCAGTGCAGCCAAAGCGAATTGTTCAAAACGGCCGCGTCCACACGACCCGCTCGATTCTTAATGAACATTTGAAACCCTGACAGGGAATGGGAGAAGGAATAATCCCACAGCCCCTGAGCTAGCGTTCGACTGGCACTGGGTTAGATTAAAACAAAACTCCGAGCGAGGCATGGCCCGAAATTGAAAAAAGTTTGTTGCAATGTACAACAATCGGCCCCAAACCAACCAATCCCGTGTGCGCGTTTAACATGGACTAATCTTTGTTTAACATACAGATTGTGAAAATTTGGAGCGGTAACGATATGTTTCTCAATGCTCTATCTTAAGGCGGCTGTGAAATTGTCTCTCCAGTATCGATCACTGTTAGACCTGTCTGTGAATCCAGTCTTTATTCGAGGCCATTAGATTTCTGAGCCCCGAGCTCATTGTCGAAAATAACGATGGACGGGACCCCTCTTCCATTTCGCCTGAACTGTCATCATTTACACGGCTCACTCATCCTGCCCGACCACACAGTAACTACAATCCCCTCCTCGTTTTAAAAACGCTTGACTCCTACCCCATGAAGTCACATGGCTTCAGGTTAAACGTGGACAAGGAAATCTCCTGTTGATTACCACATACCGCCCTCCCTTAGCTGATGACCCAGTACTCCTCAATGTTAGAGGAAGCACTGAGGGTGGCAAAGGCACAAAAT